GGGTTGGGGTGGGGCTGCCATGATGCAGTTTACTTGGCATCTGAAAAATACATTTCCTCAAAGGTATTTTTAATCTGAAAATAGCTTCACTGAGTGAGAAGTAGTGTTGAGAGCAGCAGACAGTTAAGTTTCACTTTCACTTTGACCCAAGAGCCTGCAGGAGTCATGGGCGGGGTGTGTGGGGAGTGGGGGAAGGGGGTGCGCTCTACCATGAGGAAGTTCAGCTTAAAGACACGTCCCAGGGGCGTTTCTGGTCCCCAAAGGCATTTCTGGTCCCCACCTGTTGTTTTGCTCCTCAGCATGGCTTCCTAAAAACGCTGCAGGATTTCTCAAACATGCATGAATGAGTCAGAGCAAGACTTTGGGCATGTTTTTAATGAGAGTATAACATTATAACATGACATAAAACTCAAAAAAGTTGATTTTACATGATATTGCCCCTTTAAATATCTTCCCTTTGCTGTGATCATCATAACCTCTGCTCATCTTGAACTTCCTCACCCTCTGGTAACATCGTGGCTATCCTCCTCTTCAGTCTCTCTCCAGATTCCTCCTCCTCGGCCTCTCCAGGAGCCTTGAACTCCAACCTGCAGCGGAGGCACTGCAGGTGAGCACAGCTGGGGACGAGCTCCGAGTCCCGGCGCTGGTTCTCCTCCATGGCATGAGACAATATATCAGTCAAAACCTAGCGGCGAAAAACAAAACATTTTTATTTTTTAATTTTTTTCCCGGCTGGTTTTATTTTGTAATTAGCTCAACAAATCAAATAAGATGAAAAATATTTTAACAAGACATATTTGGCCCTTCTTGCACCGATTCTGCTTACAAACTAATTAGTACCTGTGAGTGCCTCAAGCCTAAACCAATAATTTTTTTGCTCAAACATAAAAACTACTCACATATATTTTTCTTGTTGCTCTTAAGCTTCATTAAGCATTACATCTATATTGTGCAACATGGGAAGATGCAATCAACACGAGGACGTCATGAAAAAAACTAAATCATAAACAAGGTCATAAACATGGTACAGGTTGTACTGCTGAAGGAGAATGTCAAACATAAAAATATTGGAGAGCAGCCTTGCACACAGCACCATAAGACTCAAGAACTCCCTCATACCTACATGTAAGAGCACAGTTTCTTATGTTACCTTGTAGGTCATGAATTCTGTCCATGTCAGCAAGTACGTAAAGTTTTTGTCATTGCACAAATTAATTATTCATTGGATATTAGTAAACAGATTAAGTGCTTTATGACCCAATTTGTTGAGTTTAGACCAATAAATATACATATTTTGTACACATAGATTTTTAAATATTTTTTGTTACTGTGATGTCATGGTTTAGCTCTCCTACAACATTCTTACCTTCGCTACAGATTACCGAAGGCTAAAAAAACACATATTTTTGGTGTAAGAGTTCGAAAAATAGTTGTGGTCCAACTCCTTTGGGGTCTGCTGGTGCTGTACTAAAAATAAGCACACTTACCATGAAAGGAACTCAGAGAAAAACATTGATAAAAGGAGGTAGGGTTGAGTGCAATAATATATTTCTGCCTACATATGCCAGAATTTTTATTTAGCCGATACCTACGATTTAAAAAATGTGGCCAAAATTGGCCGAATGAATTGGCTCAGTTTAATCGATCTTGGTTAGTTGACTGATGAGTTTTTCTGTAGCCAATCTTGATGCCAATTTTCAGAAATTAAGGCTGCCAATGGCCGATTCACAACAGTAATGTATTATTTCTTTTGGTTTTTTGGGCCAACATGTATGGTTCATTTAACAAAATATAAAACTAGGTAAATAAAATAAACATATCACGACCATTATAAGAATTTGTGTACTTAATTATAATACACAGAGGAGCATTCTTCCTTATAAAACTAACTTGTAGTCTAATTGTAACATTTGCTGCAACACCTTCATTTTTAACTTGGTAAATCATTAAGTATGTACAGGCATGGCCAATAGAAAAATTAAAAAAAAATACCGTCCAATTATAATGGGTCGGCCAAATAAAATGGGTCTACTGACTTATAGACCCATATGTAGAGTAGACTTGGGCTAATCATATGTGGAACTGTCAGAAAAACTGTCACCAATTAATTTTTGGCACTTTGCGATTACTGTTGGGTGATAACGTATTTTTGTGTGCAACACACTATCAAGTGCAGGCGCTAACGCTAACACGACAGATTTGTCTAATCACCTGAAACACAACCATAAAGCAGAGTATGAGGAGAGTCAGAAAATGCTGACTGGGGCAATGTTGGCTACAACAAACTATTCTCCAGCAAATGGTGGAAGCAAGTGGTGTCCCAATATTGACATTGGTATCAGTATCGAATCTGATACCACCCTTTTACAAGTACTCAAACTTGTTCAAAATGTCCCAATACTCGGAACCGATACCATCCATTATCTATATCTGCTTCTTCCTTTCAGGGTCACTGGTGCCCACATCTAGCAGTCACTGTGCGAGGGGCGGGGCACACCCTGGACAGGTCACAAGTCCATCACAGGGACACACATAGAGACAAACAACCAACATTCTTACTGAGAGGCAACAGTTCTACCAACTGAGCCACCGTGCAGCCCTAAAAGAAAATCTCATTTTTATTTATTCTAAAATGTTGCAACTGTATATATCAAGCTGTATGTTTGATTTAATAGAGCCAGAGGAGCTGTAGGAGGAGAGCCACCTTGTTTTAAATAAAGAAATGTGTTTTTAAAGTCATGGTGTATTGCTTAAGTTCTAACTCAGTAAGTACTCAGCATCAGTACTCTGAATCAGGACACCCCTAACTGAAACAAAACTAATTAGATGAGAATCCACACTGCATTCAGTCACTCTGTCCCTAATGAAAGATTAAGTAACTCTGGAAAAGATAACTTGGGGCGGGTTGTGGCTGCTAAAATGAAGAAGTTAATTTCCCTGATGAATTGTTTATTTCAGAACACAGGGTAACTGAGTTACAGTCAAAAACATGCAATTTAAACCGTCATCCATTCATTATCAGCTAAATGCCACAATTTATTGTGATTAATTTTTTTTGCCAATATCGCCCAACACTAATCTACTGTACATTATTGTAAATGCTTGCACGTTCATCCACTAACCTGTGCTGCCTGCTGCGGGTCGTCATCCAGCAAGACATAACATCGTTTCGTTTTCGCCTTGGTGATGTAGTCAAAATGAAGCTCCACAGCAGGAAACAAATTCTCTGTGTCCTGAGAATAAAACAGAGACTGCTCACGTCAGTGATAGGAGGGGTAGCAATTAATTTTGAGATAATGTTCAAAATGTTTTCATTTGATATGTAGCATCAAATAAAATTAAAGAAACTGTTTTATTTGTGGGCGGCTGTGGTGGAGTGGTTAGAGGAGTCGCCCTGTAACCAGAGGGTTGCCGTTTCGATCCATTGTGTCCTTGGGCAAGATACTTCACCCACTTTGCCTAGTGATGGTAGTCAGACGGTCTGGTGGCACCGGTGTGTAGCAGCCTCACCTCTATCAGTGTGCCCCAGGGCAGCTGTGGCTACAATGTAGCTTACTACCATCAGTGTGTGAATGTGTGTGTGAATGGGTGAATGTCTGAAGTGTAAAGTGCTTTACAGTCCATATGGACTTATTAAAGTGCTCTATAAGTTCAGTCCATTTCCCATGCAATAAAATCTGCAGTGTTTGCATCTGCTTAAGATGTTATACATTACACTGTATACCTCTGAGTGTAGCCATGTTAACATTTCTCCATAAACATAATGAAATATGAACTTAGTTTGTCTAGTACATGTTCAATTATATTTTATCAAATTTTGAACATTTTTGTTTTGGGCAGGTAACCTTTCATGTTGGGCAGGTTAAAAAAAAAGAAAACTTTTGAAACCCGAAATTGAGTCTGACCTACAGCTTAGCTGACTGGGATGGATGTTTTGGATATGTTACTAGCAAGTTCTGAAATTACAATATGTTAATTTTCACATAAAGAAACAAAGTTTAGTGTCACATTTATCAAATTCTGCTTAAGTGCAACTGAGCCTTTCCCTTGCATCTTGAGAAATCTGCCTTTACACTAATTTGACTGTAAATGTTGTCTTTTTCCTACTGTTTGATAGTCTTATAGGGAATTATATGCCTTGAATAGGCAATATTTTAGAGTTAAAAAGGAACTAAATAGATCCCAGCCTCTCAAAAGAAACTTCTTGTTGGCTATTCCATCTCTTACTCTTACTTATCAACTTACGGGAGACTGCGGTGAAGTGAAGACTGTTTTGTGTACAGTGCCCTGAGATGACCTTTGTTGTGACATGGCGCTATTTAAATACACTGAATCACCCTGAACTGAATTACCTGTTGGGTCCAGGCGACCTCAGTGGTCTCAACCCTGGCCAGGCTGTCCAGCTCCAGCCGACATCTCTCTTGACCATGCTGCACGTCCACCTCCAGCACCAAACCCTGCTTGACGCGCAGAAACACCTCTGTCCTCGTTGTGTCTGGACCTGTGCTGTCTCCTGCTTTGTCAGACAGGACTCCGACAAGAAGTGGGTGACACAGGTCCACTAGGATGGAGACAAACGGGTGATATTTTGTGTGTTCAGCTTCACGATCAAACGTACGTTGAGAGGGATTCCTGAAGAGCTTACCTCCAAGGCCCTCGTCATCTTCTTGATTGTTTTCACTCGACGCTCTGGCAGACCTCTGGGAATCTGGGCTCGAATGAAGCGAGCTGGCTTCGTCCTGCCTCACTGCTAACCCGTCCGCTTCGCTGCCCTCCAGTGTGGATTCGCTCTGCTGAGTGCTGTGGCTTAGCCAGTGTGGGGTGGACGCTGTTTCCAAGTCCTTGTCTTTTGTTTCCAGGGAAAGGAGCGGTGGTGGGAGGACCTCGGGTATTTTCACAGGAGACGGATCAACGGGAGGACCGTTGCTGCTGGGACCGTTGGAGAGAGTTTGAGAGGCTGTTTGGTTTGAAGCATCAGTTCTGACCATGGTGCTTGCTTCTCCATCTAGATGGTGCTGGTATCTCAGCCAGTCCTCCCCCAGCTGGTCTCTGAAGCTGGACATGCGCTCAATCTCCTGCTGGTGTGGGAGAACGATGTCTGGAGAGAAGATATAACCATCATGGGCATTTGGCCTGACAAAATAACAATTACAGCTTTGTTATTTAGCCAAACAGTAGGATTACTTGTACTGTGAGGTACCTTGTGTGGAAGAAATGCGTCTGGGTACATGATCAGTGTCACTTGGTTCAGATATGCTGGCTCTTCTCACTTTCACCTTACTCTGAAACATGAGAGATTCCACATAAACATAACATTTACTGTATTTATTTGTGTATAATATGATCTCATGTATAATACGACCCCCTTTTTTGAGCTTAAAAAACAAAAAAACTGTAATCCTCAAACTACCTCCAATTTCATAAAGACTTCAAGATTTTTCAGCCTTTGCAGTCTTTATACATATCAGTTAGGGCTGCCATGATTAGTCGATTAGTCGACGACTAATCGATTATTAAAATAATCGATGACTAATTTAATAATCGATTAATCATTTTTTTGTTCTTTACTTTGTTTTTCTCTCCAAACTGCGTTGACACCTTCCACTGCCACATCTGCCTTTCTGTCCTTGACACACATGCACAGTAGTGGTAACTGGGGTAGGCCGTGGACGTCACAAGACTTTATACAGACAGGCTCTGGTATCATGGCTACCTGYCAACGGAGCTCAAAAGTGTGGGATCATTTTAAGAAAATGAAAGAGAAACCTGTACAATATCTGCAYYGCAGAACTTACCTTCCACAGCAATTATTTTTAGTTAGCATATAGCTAAACTCTAACGATGGTTATATAATAGCAGCTGCATTCTGGCGCAATAAGCTCTATGTTTTATATTCAATTAACGTATGATCTGATTAGTCGACTAATCGAAAAAAATAATCGGTGATTAATCGATTATAAAAATAATCGTTTGTGGCAGCCCTAATATCAGTAAAATGGTCATTGGACTGTTCATTTTATTTTAACAACATWTGTACTAAAAGGTATTTTGACAACAAATATCTATCAGCTGTAGCAGCATCATATGAACTCTGGTATTTTACACATAGTCCACCAGGATGCACCAACACAAAAGTCAGAGACTTCACATGAGATTTGGACCATCTTCTGAGGGAAAAGCAGATTACTTCCTACTCGTGAGCGCCCCCTCTGGTGGGGAAACGTTTTTTCAGGAATACAAACTTTTTCAGAACACCAGTAGATGGCAGCCATTACAGACGAACATGTGTTTGTTGTTGTTCCAGGGCGGTCACACGCTAATGTCATTAGTTCGTTATCATTACTAAGGTGAAGGACTGCCTTTTTTCCCTTTTTTTTCACATCATGTTGCCTGCTTGGATCTGTTATTATCTCGCTCTGAGGCACGAAGGAGTGTCAGAGGTGAGCTCGTTTCAACTGCTTTTTACGATGCAGTCTCATTTCTGGACTCAATAATTTTGTGAATGAAGCCGATATTTCAGTTAAAATACATAAGTAAAAATATTTATCCAAGTATAGTACTACCCCCCAACTTTATAGATGATTTTATGGATTTAATTTTACATATTATACTTGAATAAATACAGTAAATTAGACGTTGATGAGCACAAGAGTTATCTTAGTAGTTAGTTATTTAGCAACTATGACTTCCTACTGTTGCAAACACAAGAAATGACCATTTTCAGTTCTTTACAAACTATAAAATGTTTTGAAACTCTGTTGTGCCTAATGATTTGCAACAGTGCATTGACTTTTTTTTAAATACTGGTGTTCTCAATAACGTTCAAATTATACTCGAACAGCTGACTGTCATTTGCATTGGTTATTTAGGAACATGAGAGAAAAATATTATTTGCATAATAATTCAGAAGGCGATTTATGAGTTGTCCATAAATGTCTAAGCTAAGCACCTATGAACAACTAGGTGTCCATCCATGTTTATACTGAACAAACTGAACTGTCCATAAATGTCTGTTGTTTGTAGATGCCTACACTAGACATCCATGAACTGAGTTGTATATAAATGTCTAAATATTTAAGCTAGACACCTACGAGCAACTGAGTTGTCCGTAGAGGTTTATGTTACTCAAAGATGACTAACAAGCTGACGATAAATGTTTGTCTGTTGTCCACTTAAGCTAAATTTGTTTTAAAAGTGAATGTGTTGGGAGTCACAGAAACCATAAACCCAACTATAGACATAAAATAGATATTTCCATAAGCTCAAGCCACACCACTGAGCAGCGTAATTGCAGCCCACTAAAATATAACGGTGTTGACATTTTGTGTGTCATGTCAGATGGGTTGCAATTTGTGATTAATGTTAAAAACAACAAGGCTTATTTCCCCCTCCCACAAATGAACTGCATGCCTCCAAAACATCTTGTTGCTAACTTACAACAGCCTGTGCAGTTTGTTTTCTTTTTGACTCAGCAGAAAAGAAAAAAAGAGGAATGTCTTGTTTTCATCTGTCAAGAAAATCTAAATGTGAAAAACACCCATACATTTATCAAAGCGTTTTTTTTAACACGGAACAGACAAAAGTGTTTTTGGACACACTGATAACAGAACGACAACATCAGGAACTGCAAAAAATAAAAGTTAAAAGACTGTTTCAGCATACTTTATGAGGGCAACATTCAAACCTGACTCTGAAGCTGAATCTGTAACTCTTACTCTGGATTTCTTTCGACGTAAATGAGAGACCCCGACATCTCCGACAGACATGCTGTCGCTCAGCTCCCCCGCAGCGCTCGACACCTCCTGGGTGCTGCGGTCCGATGAAAGTGGAACCGAAGTCAGTGAAGATTGAACCTGGACATGCAGCGGGCCTGCTTTTGGTAAAACCTGCAGAGGAAAAGAGCACTGTTACGCACTCAAAGTACAAGACAAGCTTATCCTGCAGCTAAACGTTACTACTGCCCTAGATTTACATCTTCCTTTTATAGTATAGTGACAATATGAAAAGCAACAGCTCCAGATTATGGAGGTTGAAGAAAAAGTAAGATATAAAAAACCAAAAAGCTGACATTTTGGCAGTTAGGGTTTTATAGATAGAGCTCTTTGGACATTTACCGTCCATCTTACCAAGTTTTAAAACCTTATATCCAGCCAAAAAGTCTTTTTGATCTTGTTTTGAGACTGATTTACTAAACAAGAACTGATTGTGTAAGAATAATGGGCCTCATG